CTGGCCCCCCTCCCCTCCCTGGGGCTCCTGTAGTTGGAGCTGATTTCTACCCCTGCCCTTTTCTTAATGCTGGCATTGTAGACAGAAATCTGCTGTTTTCTCCTTTTCCCATGCTGGCTCCCTGCTTCTCCCATAGACACCATTCACTTCCACATCTACCGATCACCTATCAGGTGTTGTGCTAGACACCTATGCTGTGTGCTGCTGGGTTTCAAAACAGCCTAAGTCAAAGTTCTCACCCTCAAGGACCCCACCTTCAGAGACTTTGACAAAGAACCACATATACACACACAAAGACAACACGGCTATAAGAACGCAGAACACATTGCTTGAGTACTCTCTATGTGCCAGGTGTGTGCTAAATACTTTACACATATTCAACCCAAGAGCAGACGCTATTTTGAAAAACGGAGGCTCTCAGGGATTAAATAGTATAACAGACACAGACTGGGGTGTCTGGTGAGCTCAGAACAATTTCTCCAGTGGCCATGCCTATGTCCAGTCCCTCTCCTCCTCTGAAAAACTCTATCTCCTTCTCCAGCATATAGTGATTGGTCCAAAGTGTGGTCATGTGATCCAAACTTAGACCAATCAGAGTCCAGCCCCAGGAACTTTTGCCTGGGAACTTGAGGGGAAACTTCTTTTGTCTCTGGCCAGGGAGCTATGGCAATAAGAGTCAGCTTCACTGAAAAGATGCTCAACATCACTAATTATTAGAGAAATGTAAATCAAAACTACCATGAGGCACCACCTTACACTGGTCAGAATGGCCATGATTTAAAAGTCTACAGGGCTTTCCTGGTGGCGCAGTGGTTAGGAATCTACCTGCCAATGCAGGGGACATGGGTTCAATCTCTGGCCCGGGGAAGATCCCACATGCTGCAGAGCAGCTAGGCCTGTGCGCCACAACTACTGAGCCTGCGCTCTAAAGCCCGTGAGCCACAACTACGGAAGCCCGTGCACCTAGAGCCCATGCTCCGCAACAGGAGGAGCCACCGAAATGAGAAGCCCGCGCACCGCAATGAAGAGTAGCCCCCGCTCGCCGCAACTAGAGAAAGCCTGAGTGCAGCAACGAAGACCCAACGCAGCCAAAAATAAATAAAATAAAATAAATAAAATTTTTTTAAAAGTCTACAAAACAATAAATGCTGGAGAGGGTGTGGAGAAAAGGGAACCCTCCTACACTGTTTGTGGGAATGTAAGTTGGTGCAGCCACTGTGGAAAACTGTATGGAGGTTCCTCAGAAAACTAAAAATAGTGCTACCATATGATCTGGCAACCCCTCTCCTGAGCATATATCCAGACAAAACTCTAATTCAAAAAGACACAGGTACCCCTATGTTTATACTAGGGGTACTGTTTATTCACAACAGCCAAGACGTGGAAACAACCTAAATGTCCATGGATCAATGAATGGATAAACAAGATGTGGTACATATATACAATGGACTACTACTCAGCCATAAAAAAGAATGAAATCATGCCATTTGCAGCAACATGGATGGACCTAGAGATTATCATGCTAAGTGAAGTAAGTCAGAAAGAGAAAGACAAATACCATATGATATCACTTCTATGTGGAATGTAAAATTTGGCACAAATGAACCTATCCATCAAACAGAAACAGAATCACGGACATAGAGAACAGGCTGGTGGTTGCCAAGGGGGAGGGGGCTGGGGGAGGGATAGAGTGGGAGGTTGGGGTGAGCAGATGTAAGCTTTTATATAGAGAATGGATAAACAACAAGGTCCTACTGTCTAGCACAGAGAACTATATTCAATATCCTATGATAAATCACAATGGAAAAGAATATTTAAAAAAAGAATGTACATATATGTATAACTGAATCACTTTGCTGTACAGCAGAAATTAACACAACATTGTAAATCAACTATACTTTAATAAAAAAACTTAAAAAAAAAAAAAGAAGAGCTTCATGATGCTAATAGCCAGAATCTGTCTTGTAGAGATGTTGGTCAAAGAGAATTAGGATGTCACACAGAGAGAAGGGAACCTAAAAACAGAGTCCATGTAAGCCTTTACTACCGATTATACTTACAACCAGCTCCATCCTGTCCCTTCCACAACCTGGCCCATTTCTTTTAGCCCTGTTTTTCTTAACCTAGTTTGAATTCGTTTTCCATCACTTACAAGCTACACATTCCGAAGAATACAGGTCCCTTGCCTAAGGTCACACAGCTTACAAGCGTCTGGTTGCGTGCCCTCCTAAGAGCCACCTTGCCTCCCATGTGGCTGGATTATAGACCCCAGACAGCACAGGCAGCATCACGCTGTTTTATTTTCCTACAAATGTTGCCAGGGGGATTGGCATGACCATGGAGTTGGCACTTCTGCTCATCAACTGTTTAGTTCCCAGAAATGTGTTACCACTTCCCTCATGAAAGCCATATTATTATCACCAACTACTTACTGGGAGCTTATGCCATGCGAGGTACCATGCTATGTGCTATGCGCCTCATTTAATGTCCCCAAACCCTTGCGTAGTAAGTACTGGTAGTGCTGGGGGGTTTTTGTTTTATTTGGGTTTTTTTGGTTTTTTGCTTTTGTTTTTAACGTGGACCATTTTTAAAGTCTTTATTGAGTTTGTTACAATATTGCTTCTGTTTTACGTTTTGGTTTTTTGGCCACGAGTCATGTGGGATCTTAGCTCCCTGACCCGGGATCGAACCCACACCACCTGCACTGGAAAGTGAAGTCCCAACCACTGGACCAGCAGGGAAGTCCCCAGGTAATGCTGTTTTAAAAGTGGGGAGGGACTTCCCTGGTGGTCCAGTGGTAAAGAATCCACCTTCCAATGCAGGGGACGCAGGTTCGACCCCTGGTCAGGGAACTAAGATCCCACATGCCGTGGGGCAACTAAGCCCATGCGCATCAACTAGAGAGCCCGCGTGCCGCAACTACAGAGCCCATGCGCTCTAGAGCCCACGCGCCACAACTAGACAGAAGTCCACGCGCCACAATGAAAGAACCCACATGCCACAAATAAGACCTGAAGCACCCAAAAAAGGGACACTCGAGAGGGTTGGTGTTTTGGGGTTTTGACTTGCCCCCAAGGTCAAAAGACAGGAAGGGGCAGAGCCGGACTGGTTGATTTCAAAGCCCACGCTCTTGGCCAATCCACTAATGTTCCTCCCCACGCAGTACTGTGATCATTGTGATTGGCTGCACGTCCGTCCGTCACAGCCTCCAAGAACCTTGCATGTTAGACTGAGTGTAAGTTGATCCTATCGCAGCCCCGGCCCGCCTGCAGTCGCCTTTTGGTCTGCACGAGAATGCAGCCAGCCAACTTTCTTACAGGCCTCAGGTCAGAGGACCCTAATCTTAAGGCCAGTGGAGGTCCATGCAGGGGCTGGAAACTTTGGCTTTCTAAAGAGGCCCCACCTGGTACAAATGAACTTATTTGCAAAACAGAAATTGAGTCACAGGTGTAGAAAACAAACTTATGGTTACCAGGGGGGAAGGGGGAGGGAGGGATAAATTGGGAGAATGGGATTGACATATACACACTACTATATATAACATAGATAACTAATAAGGACCAGTAGGTCCTTCTTAGCACAGGGAACTCTACTCAATGCTCTGTGATGGCCTATGTGGGAAAAGAATCTAAAAAAGAGTGGATATAAGTATAACTGATTCACTTTGCTGTACACCTGAAACTAACACAACACTGTAAATCACCTATACTCCAATAAAAAATTTTTAAATAAAATAAAAAATAAAGAGGTCCCACCATGTATATATATCTTCCTTCTCAGCTCTTATGTTCCGGATGAATGTTTATGATGAGCCGTCGAGCTGGGTCTCCCGCAGACTCCAAGCTGAAGGCCCCGCCCTGTTGTCTCCTGTTGATGGGGTGCTTGCCTCCTCCTGCCTGAACTCCACAGCACCCTAGTATTCTGAGCTGGGGCCTGACCCCCACGTCACACCTCCACCTGGCTTCATAAAGGAGGGCCTAAGGTCCTATCCCGTCTCCCCAGCATCCGGCCGAGGCCTGAGCAGTTTCCACCATAGGTCCCACTTGCGCCTAGACCGGTCCCCATCCTCCCAGAGCCACAGCCGCAGGCGCCTCTGACAAAGGCCTCTTGCCGGAAGAGAAACAGCGCAAGCCCACCCCTGACGCTTTCACCCGCCTTTCCCCTGGTCTCCCTTGTCTCTACGCCTTTAGGTCAGAGGCGCCCAACTGTAGCCCACAGGCCAAATGTGGTGTGTAAATAGGTTTTATTCAGCATTCACAGTGGGTTTCTTTATTTTAGCATTTTAAAAAACTGGGTGTTTCACTTAGATACCTCAATTTAAATTTTCTATATAAAAAGTTTAAAAAAAAACACAAAACTGTCTGCATTTCTAACTTTTCTTTAAAAAACTGGCCTTTCTGTGACAAGAGCCCTGCATCTCAGCATGAGAGCCGCCAGTGGCAGCTGAGCAGTGACCACCTACTTTGGACAGTGCATGGCCTCTCTGCTTCACAGTCTCAAAATTTGCCCATGACCCTCATTTTCCCTGCCCGTCTGATCTCTGTGAACACCCAAGGCCCACCCTGGCGGCCTGGGATCCCCCCTAGCAGACAGACAGCTCACTAGCCAGTCTCCCCAGCCTGGGATTGGGCATTTCCTCCAGATGATGAATCTCAGGGAAGTCCCTTCAACTCTAAGGCAAGTGAGGCCCCCGGCCATGCCTGACCCAGGCTCTGAATGTGTCCAAGCCCAGAAGCCACTGGCCATGGGCTCTGTTTTGTCTGTAGCACCTCAGCACGGGCATGCACAGCTGAGACCCCGCTGAGGCCTGGGGTGGACGTCATGCCTGCTCAGGCCCATCTCACCGCGGAAATCGCTGTCCAGCTGGATTAAGGAGCAGGCAGTGACTTCCCCGAGTCTACCCAGAAAACACCAGGCCCAGGAGAAACTGTCCATCAGACCAGCGCCGGTGGCCCCCACCCCAGCCCCTGCCCCCAGCCCCGGGACTCGGGGACACTCACGATGTTCATGAGGGTGAGGACGTAGTTCTGCACGTGCTCCTTCCCGTGGAAGCGCACCACCGAGTCGTCCACCGCCAGCAGCACCTCCATGCTGTAACTGCCCGGCTTGGCATGTCGCCGCTTCCTCTCTGCTTCTCCCAGCCGGTCCCCCACCAGGCCCAGCAGGTTGGGAAGGTCACCCAGGCCAAAAGCTGGAACCGGGACAGGAAGAAACCGAGGTCAAACCCACATAAGGGACTGTCACCGTGACGCCGCCCCCGTCAAGCGTGCCCCTTTCCCTGCCTCTGAAAGCCAAGGCAGCATGAGGGTTTGTGCCATACCAGGTAACTGGTGGGCATGAGCCCTTTCCCTGGCACGAGGACACGGCGAGTCTCTGAGGCAATGAAGAGCAGAGAGGCGAGAACTGGCCCGGGTTCCAGTTCCTACTCAGTCCCATCTCCCTGTGCATCCTAGCCCAAGCCCCACTGCTGCTCCAGGCTTCCCTCCCCCGCTGTGACATGGGGAGGGATAATCCTTGATCTCTTGCCCCACAAGCTTGCTGTAAAAATCAAAGGTGGCACTGGGTGTAAACATCTTAATAAAGGAAAAAAAATTGTGATGTTACCGTGGCCTATGCGGGGCATTTTAGGGACCCCTGGAGCATGCCCTGTGCCCCTCAAATCCCTCCCAATCACCGCCAGCAACTCCAAATTTCACCATCACAGCTTTGGCCTTTTGGATGAAAGCAAAATATTTACTTCTTTAACCAGCATTTATTAACTTGTATGATGTTATCTAGAAGTTGTCGAATTTTTTCTGTAAAGGATCAGACACTAAATATTTTAGGTTTTGTGGGCCTTCCGGTCTCTGTCTCAGCTCTTCAATTCGACAGTTGGAGCATAAAAGCAGCTACAGACAATATGTAAACAAATGAGTCTATCTAGGTCCCAATAAAACTTTATTTACAAAAACAAGTGGTAGGCCACATTTGGCCCATGGACCTTAGTTTCTGACCCTTAATCTAATCCAATCCAATCCAGCCCTTACAACAACTCTGTCAGGTTATCGACTCCATTATACAGGCAAACAAACTAAGGTTCAAAGTAGTGTGTCCATGTCTGTCCGAATCCAAAGGCCTTGCTTTGAAACATACTGCTACCTAGAAAGGTAACACCTCAGGCAGTTATCAGTCATTTACACCATAGCCTGAATAAGGAATGGAGCAACATCTGTTGGGGCAGTGGAGTGAGGGTGCATGAGGACACCATAGGGAAAGCTATGAAAGCAGGACAGGAAGCTGGGGTCCCTCAAGAAAACTTCAACTGAACTTAATGAATTTCCTGCCATCCTACCCTGAAGCTCTGATACTTGTGCACTGATTTCTAAGACTATTCATTTACCCACTGTTATTTGAGAACCCCCCCACCCCCAAGACTGGGCCAGGGTCTGAGGCTGTAAAGATGCCACCCCTACAATCCCAGCATGTATCCAGAGGTGTGGCTGCAGGAGGGTCCCCACACTTCCTAGAAGGGTTGAGGGTGGGTGGGTGATGAAGGTAGGGCCCTGTCCTTGAGTCCCCCTGCCTAGTGCAGGTGACAGATAAGACACCAGATGGTATCTATAGAGTAACGTCAAGGGCTATAGTAGGACTGACTAGGGCAGGCTTCCACACCGAGACCCACACCGGGACTGGGGAGCTGGGGAAGGCTTCTGGAGAAGGGCGTATCGGAACTGGCTGGCGGAGAGCAGGAGACAACCTGCTGGAGTGCGGGGAACACAGGGCCCCGAGCAGGGGGAGCTGTGCCTGCAGCATCTAATGTGAGTATAAGGAGACCCCGCCCACAGTGTGGGTGACCCTCAGGAATGAATCAACGGACACCCGAGTTCTGCCTCTAAGCCTCCATGCACATGGGTACTTCAGGGACTGAAATCGGATCACAGGGCAACAGGGAACCACAGGGCTCCATGTCACTGTTTCTGTTTTCCCTTTGGTTAGTAGTGCTATCGTGCAAAGGAAGGAAAGCACTAGATTTAAGAGTTGGGAAAATGGGGACTTCCCTGGTGGTCCAGTGGGTAAGACTCTGCGCTCCCAGTACAGGGGGCCCGGGTTCAATCCCTGGTTGGGGAACTAGATCCTACAGGCATGCCACAACTAAGAGTCCGCATGCCGGGCTTCCCTGGTGGCGCAGTGGTTAAGAATCCGCCTGCCAATGCAGGGGGCATGGGTTCGAGCCCTGGCCCGGGAAGATCCCACATGCCACAGAGAAACTAAGCCCGTGTGTCACAACTACTGAAGCCCACATGCCTAGAGCCCGTGCTCCGCAACAAGAGAAGCCACCGCAATGAGAAGCCCACACACCGCAACGAAGAGTAGCCCCTGCTCGCTGCAACTAGAGAAAGCCTGCGCGCAGCAACAAAGACCCAAACACAGCCAAAAATAAATAAATAAATAAATTTAATGAAAAAAAAAAAGAGTTGGGAAAATGTATGGACACTGGCCTAGTGGAGAAACCAGAAATGGGCAGCCGGCCCTCTGAACAATGCAATGCACAGCCTGGTGAGCAGGGCTCAGGCTGGTGTCCACCCTCCCTGCCCCTGAGGCCAATGCCTCTGTCTCTGCAGGTGACACTGCACCAGAGCTCCTGGTGGCCCTGCTGTCCAAAAGTGAGTCCAACGGTGAGTGCAGCAGCCCAGAGACAAATTCCTGGGAGGGGAGAAGACCCCCAGGAGGGGAGAAGGAGGGGCAAGGGCTCTATCCACGGAGTGAATACAATCATAACAGCCACTTCCAGCACATGAGCAGTGCCCGGAGGTTGCAGCAGTGCAAGTGAAATGGGGAACTTGACCCCTCACAGCTCTCCCTGCCAGGCCTGTCAAAGGGAAGCTCAGAGAGGTTGCCTGACTCATCTCAGGTCATACAGCAAGTTCATGGCAAAAGGCCAGAATGTAAACCCAAACCTGCCACTCCCCATTATCACACCCTAACCGGCACCCAGGTTTCTCTCTCAACAAAAACAGTAACGGGCATTGGGGAGGGCCTGCTGACATCAGCTATAGACCTTGGAGATGTTCCAGTCACACCCTCTTTTATGGGCCAGATATAGGGAATCCTCAAAGCGAGGAGAGGTGAGGGCAGCAGGTCACTGGGAACTTTCACTGAGCCCACCCAAGAAGCCCCATGAGAATGGAAAATGGTGCAGCTGCTTTGAAAACCAGTTTGGCAGTTCCCCCAAAAGTTAAACACAGTGTAGTCATAGGACCTAGCAATCCACTCTTAGGTATATATGCAAAAGAATTGAAAACATATGTTCACACAAAACCTTGTACAAGAATGTTCATAGCAGCATTATCATAATAGCCAAAAAATGGAAACAACCCAAATGTCCACCAACAGAAGAACAGATAAACAAAATGTGGTGTCTCCACAGGATGGACTATTACCCTGCCATAAAAAGGAGTAAAGTACTGATACATGCTCCAGCACGGATGAACCCTACATGCTAAGTGAAAGAAGGCCAGTCACAAAGGCCACAGACTGTATGATTCCACATATAGGGGATGTCCAGAAGAGACAAATCTCTAGAGAGAGAAGATCGATTGGTGGTTGCCAGGGGGTTGAGGAGAGGAAAACAGGAGTGACAGCTAATTCATGGGTATCAGGTTTTTTATGGGAGTGATGGAAGTGTTCTAGAATTAGATAATGGTGATGGTCCCACAAAACTGTGAAGAGATATATACAGACTGCCAACAAACACATGAAAGAATGTTCAACATCATTAATCATTAGAAAAATGCAAATCAAAACTACAATGAGATATCATCTCACACCGGTCAGAATGGCTATCATCAAAAAATCTAGAAACAATAAATGCTGGAGAAGGTGTGGAGAAAAGCGAACACTCTTGCACTCTTGGTGGGAATGTAAATTGATAGAGCCACTATGGAGAACAGTATGGAGGTTCCTTAAAAAACTACAAATAGAATTACCATATGACCCAGCAATCCCACTACTGGGCATATACCCTGAGAAAACCACAATTCAAAAAGAGTCACGTACCAAAATGTTCATTGCAGCTCTATTTACAATAGACAGGACATGGAAGCAACCTAAGTGCCCATCATCGGATGAATGGATAAAGAAGATGTGGCACATATATACAATGGAATATTACTCAGCCATAAAAAGAAATGAAATTGAGCTATTTGTAATGAGGTGGATAGACCTAGAGTCTGTCATACAGAGTGAAGTAAGTCAGAAAGAGAAAGACAAATACCGTATGCTAACATATATATGGAATTTAAGAAAAAAAAATGTCATGAAGAACCTAGGGGTAAGACAGGAATAAAGACGCAGACCTACTGGAGAATGGACTTGAGGATATGGGGAGGGGGAAGGGTGAGCTGTGACAGGGCGAGAGAGGCATGGACATATACACACTAACAAACGTGGTAAGGTAGACAGCTAGTGGGAAGCAGCCGCATGGCACAGGGAGATCAGCTCGGTGCTTTGTGACCGCCTGGAGGGGTGGGATAGGGAGGGTGGGAGGGAGGGAGATGCAAGAGGGAAGACATATGGGAACATATGTATATGTATAACTGATTCACTTTGTTATAAAGCAGAAACTAACACACCATTGTAAAGCAATTATACCCCAATAAAGATGTTAAAAAAAAACAACAACAACAACAAAAACCCAAACTGAATTGTATATGTTAAAATGGATTTTCTCTCGATTAAAAAAAGCAGCAACAGCCTTAAGCCCCAGCCTGGCCAGGGGACGAGCTGCCCTGGCATCTGGCAGCCCCGGCCCCCAGCCGAGGAGCCAGAACTCTGGCAACAGGCACATATGTCCTGTTGGCATCCAGGTCCCAGGGACCTGGACGGTGGGAAGGCGGCTACAGAGCAGGACTGAGGAAAGGACAGCATTAGGAGCATAGGAACGTCCAGGGCACAGCCTCCAAGGTCAAACCTCTCATCTTAACCGAGATGTTAAATGGAGACAGCCGCATCCAGAAACACTTCACAAACTGGGCTCAGATGCAATGCTGGCCTTAAATTAACAGTGAGTGAGTCACAGGTTTTCAAGAAAGTCCCCTATCACCCTTGTCTTTCTAAGGAAGGACCCACATGGGCCAAGGGCATGACACCACCCACAGGCCCACAGGAGGTTCAGCCGGGCAGCCTGATGAAAGGGAGTCAAAGCAGCATTCGGGGCCTGACCCCCACCCTGAGCTCAGCGGTCTCGGCCTCCCAGCCAATGACCGTGGTGGTGGGCTGTGTGGTCGGTTCCAGGCTCACAGTCCTGGAGTAGGACTTCCCCAAGGTCTCTCCCCATAAGGGAGGATTTATGGTCTTTTGATTCAGAACTGGCCTCAGATAAAATTGGAGCCTGAGGGAGACTTGTCATTCCTCCCAGCCATGGTGGTGGGAATGGTCACCACCTGCTCCTGAAACCCTCCCCAGCCCCCCGGAGGCTCCGCCCAGTCCCTCAGCTCCCCCCCACCCCACCGCCGCCGCCAGGCCTCCACCATCGCAACGTAAGTGCAGCATCACTATGAGCAACAGGGGGGGAGCAGCTGGGGCTTCAGAGGAGGCATTATATGTGGGGACAACTGGTTTCCAGGCATTCCTTCACACTGGGCCCAACCCTGCCAGGGCCCAGGCAGGAGGGTGTGGTCACTCATGGCCAGATTCCACCCAGGGTCTCATGTCTTAGTGGCCAAAGGGACTTCGAGACAAAGCTCAGTCCGACTATGAAGTTGGCACGGGCCCAGGACCAGCACAGGTCGCATCCACTCCTTCATTCACTTAACCACGCATCCTGAGTAGGCGTGCAGGCCGGGGTGCAGGCTCTGGTGCTGGTCACTGGGGTGCAGAGACGCCCCTCGCAGGGCTCTCACCCTAACATGGCGGCAGTTACCTTAATAACAAGACCGTGATAAGAGCAACGATTCATCAAACACCTACTATGTGCTAAGCTCCATGCGGGTATTTCTATACACACTATAATACACACAGCCTTAGAGGTAACAATGATCACCCCCACTTTACAGATTAGAAAAAGAGGCTCAGGGATGTTAAGTAACTTGTTGGGGTCACACAGTAGACAGTGGTGGAAGTAGGATTTTTAAATGGTCTGTTGGACACAGAGCTGACCCTGGTGGTCTGACCCCAGGCAGTCTCCCTACAAGTGCCCTAAGAACCTCCTTCCCGTGGTTCCCAGGGGCTGAGATGATTTTCAGCGGGGGGAAGAGCTAACTGCAGCCATTCCACCTTCTGCCTTGGCAGAGAAACAGCCTTGCAAAGCAGCACTGAGCCCCTCAGAGACACTGGAGTCCCAAGGACTACAGTTCAGGGGACTCAAGTACCCTTCTGGCCCCCAACTCCAGCCTGTTATGGTAGCCCCTAAAGCCCAGTGGCATTTCTTTGCTGGTGCAATAGGTCTACATGGCCCAGTCCCATTACACAGCTGAGAAGACTGAGGCCAGGAGTTGAGACGTTCAGGCCAGAAGTTACCTAAAAACACCCCCGAGGTGAGGACGGAGGTAGAGATGGGGGCCCCACCCACAGCCTACCTTCATTGTGAAGGTCCCCAAGAGGCTCTGTCCACGCCTGCTGGACGACTTCCCGGCGGTACACCACGTGCATCCTCCCGCTGGCCTCCGTCTCCTGCTGCCCCCGCTCCAGGGGCTCAATGAAGTAGTCAGTGCTGTCTGTGCGGATGAGGCCCGCCTGAACCAGGGGCACAGCGAGCAGAAGGAAAGAGGGGGAGAGAGAAGAGATGTGAACACACGGCAGAACGGGTGAGCGTGTGCGACTACAAACGTGTGTGACTAAACGAGTACAGGCTCTTCCTCTAGGGGCTTGGGGGGCCCTGGGATGCCAGCAGGGACATGCGAGGGGGTGTCAGGGGGCCAAGCACGGGCTCCCATGCCCATTGCAAGCAGAGCAGATCCACTTCCACTGTGTTGTACACTCACGGGATTCCACGTAACGTTTCATTTAAACAAAGGGTTCGAGTGCTTAAAATGGCAGGTCACTGTCACAGGGACTAGGTACACACACCAAAGCACCCCAAAGCGCTATCACTATCCTGCGGATTTGCCTGTATCTACAAACAGACAAGAAGGGAAAGTCCTATTAGTAAAGGTTAATTACCCCTACCTAAGGTGGGCACTGGACCCCAACTCCAGTACAAAGCGCTGTTATTTCAGATTTAAAGGATGTGCGCATACACACCAGGGGGGGCAGCCTGCTGACGATAAACGAGCCAGGACAGTGCCCCAGGAGTGTGCGCTCTGTTTTTACTCTAATTTATCGCCTGCATCAAAACAGGCCCCTAAAAAAACAAAAATCAAGTGCTGGCCTTGGAAATGAAAACATAAAAATATAACCTTGGCCAAGCCCAGCCAACATGTTATTAGGTCCCAATGAAGGCAATATTCACAGGGCCCAATGAAACATATAACTGGGTGTGTGTGAACAGACGTGGTACAGGTCCCCTACCTACCACCCACACATCAGCTCTATAAAGCAGTAAGAGACACCCATCATGGTGCCTGGAAAATAGGAGGCAATCCTTTAAAAATATATACTTGTTGAATTCCCTCACTCATTCGACAAATACCTATGGAGTGCCTACGACACACCAGCCCTGCGCCAGACACTGGGAACGCAGCTGTGAACACACAGCACGGAGTGGACGAGCCATTTTTAGACACCTTCCCCTTTGCATAGGAGCTGCCTCTTTGTAAAGCAGCCGCTACCGTGCGCAACAAAATTCCACCCACTGTCCCACCTCAGCCTGTTCTGAGCTGGCTTCTTAGGGAACCCCCTTCAAGGCTTCCTGAGCACACAACAGCGAACTCCCAGCAGCAGCCCATCTTCTTCCTGTCCCTTCCTGCTATGTCTCTCCATCAAACTGCAAACACCATGTTGGATCAAATCCAGGATGGCCTTCTGCTCCAATCAGGAGGCCAAAAAACGTTCTAGGGAAAATAGCCAGCCTTACCCGAATACGTTTGGGGCTTCCCAAGGTAACCATTTGAACAGGTGACACTCAATTGTCTGCAAAAGTTCTGGTCTGCTTACTAAAATGACAACGTCAAACTCTATATTAAGCACACGTCCTTTCATTTAAAGCGCTTTCCCTTTTTTTTTACTTTTGCACCTGCCATGTGCCCACGGCAGGGAGAAACAGATAAATAAGGCCCAGCCTTCGGCTGTGAGTTGCTCATTGTCTGGATGGAGGGGCCCACAGAGGAGCAGAGGGTATCCAAATTGTTGGGCTTTGCGCACTGGCGGATATACCTGAGGGACAGGTATCCATCAGGCTCTCGGTTGTAAGGGGCAAAAATTCAACTTGAACCCCCTTGGACCAAAGGGGAGTGTGTTGGCCCCTGGACAAACCATGGCAGGTGCAGGCACTGGAAGTGAGGGGCCCAGTGCCCACGGCTCCCTCTCCACCCTCCTCACGGGCCGCTCTGCATCATCTTCATTCTCCCGGACAAGGCTATGTTCTTAGGGGCACAGCTCTGCTCTGACACCACAGACAAGCAGGCTTTCCTTGCATAGTTTCATCTGGAACAGCCCAAGGGAGACTGTGGTTGGTCCAGCCCGAGTCACATGATCACCCTGGGACTGGCAGTCTCCGCTCGACCTCTACGGCCAGCGGCAGGGTAATCAGTGCATCGGAAGAAGGGAGAAACTGACAGGGTAGCAAAAGAAACCTACGTGAGCTGGAAAGGGCACAGCAGGTAGGGGACCCAGGCACAGGTGTGGAAGCAGGAAGGGCAGTGTGGGGCTGGGGAGGCATTCAGGCTCGTGGGGAGAGACTGAGCCAAACCTGCATAAGTGATGGGCCTCTTACCTGCATAAGTGAGAGGCCCAAGTCAAAGGGCTTCTGCCACTGTGGACCCGCAGAGCCCGCCGAAGGAAGCCGTCTTCCAGGGTACACAGGGCTGCAGGATGGGAGGGCCCAGGGCATTCCACCCAAAGCTACTGCAGCTCGGCTGCCAAGAGAGACTCTCTGCCAAGCCCCACGCCCATCCATCCCATCCCAACTTCTGTACCCCCGTCTGATACCCAAGGGCACTGTTGCCACCCCACCAAAACCCCCCTGGACCAAGCAAAGCAAGAGACCCTCACAGCACAAGTCAGACAACCTGTGCTTCATCCAGGCCAAACTCACACAAACCAAGGCTCACTGAGGGCTGTAGTTGCTCTGTTTCTCTCTGCCCATCACAGCAGCTCTGCAAACAGCCCGGCAGAGAAGAATTCTCCAGACCAGGGGGCAGGAGACTCCATCCAGCTACCGCCCCCCGCCCCCCACCCCCGACACTGGGTCGCTTGATCACAGCCTCCCCCGTTCTGGGACTTGGTTAACCCACTACACAGGAGGATTCTTCAGAATCTGGCATTCCCTGCCACATCACCCACTGGGTCCCTGTGGCCGCCAGACCTCAGTGCCTCATATGAGGGACGCAGGTTCCAGAATGATGCGCACAGCATAGGGCTGGGCTGCAAAGTATTACCTTCCAGCCCACCCCTCCCTTTCAAGATGGCCATGCCTGCCCCAGTCTGAGGCTTCAATACCCTGACAACATCCCCAGTCAGGGGACCTCTGACATTTGCTTGGATGCCTCCAGTGACAGGGAGCTCCCCCTCTCAAGATATAACCTATTCTGTGTGGGGACACTCGTAATGGCTTACTGAGTTGAAACACACTTCTCTACATTCTGCCCTTTATGAACAGTCTTATTGCCACTGCTATTAATAACAGTACCTGCCACTTATATTTACACATCTTAATTCATCTTTACGACAACCCTATGAGATAGGCACTAATATTAGACTCATCTCGGGCTTCCCTGGTGGCGCAGTGGTTGAGAGTCCACCTGCCGATGCAGGGGACACGGGTTCGTGCCCCGGTCTGGGAAGATCCCACATGCTGCGGAGTGGCTGGGCCCGTGAGCCATGGCCGCTGGGCCTGCGCGTCCGGAGCCTGTGCTCTGCAACGGGAGAGGCCAC